GGAAGAGGGGCTCATGAGTGGCGGTTTGGCATTTGCTAGATTTTTCAGGACTCAATTATAATTTGATGTGCACTCCAATGGTGAATGGTTGGCAAGCTTCCCCAGCACAAGGGACAGTGGAAGAGGGGTTCATGAGTGGCAGTTTGGCATTTGCTAGATTTTTCAGGCCATAAGAATGACATGTTCCAAGGCAGAAAGTCAGGCAACAGTTAACTGGAAAGGTGAATTGGGGAGGTTCCCTGACTACACAGGCAGAGCAGAGAAGCAAACTGTAGGGTCCTGGCTGTTCCTTTCTAGTGTAGTTCAAGTGAGTTTTCCCTGGACCACATCTCTTTTAGGATGTATCTATCAAGTGCTGTTATCTACCTGCCAGTAAAAGATGTGTGTACTCACTCCACACACCTGGAATAGGACTTGGGCTCATAACCTTCAGGAGTCCCCAAAACTAGGTTTTGACCTTGACTAAGATTGGTCAGTCTCAATATACTTCCTGGTTAATTTCCAAGTTAGCTGACTAGAGATGATGCCCCATGTAGAGTGAGCGATCAATTGCACTTTTCTCCTCTTTTGAGCTTGAGGGGAAGTCAGACTGTGAGCTTCTCTTTGGAATTCTTGCCTCAGAACAGCCTTGATTATTTACTCTTGCAGCCTCCTCCTGGTTAGCTTGTGCTTGGCCACATTGTCTGATCCAAAAGGAGAACTGGGGATTTCACAGTTCTTCTATGTTCCCATAATGTTGGTGCTAAATTTACAGTCCAAGAGGGTGGAACTGCAAGCCTGGACATAGAATTGCAGAATTTTGACTAGTGCATTTCGTTTTGTCTTTCTATGGCTTCTTACCCTTCCTCACATGTGGCCAAAAGGAGTGCTGGAGGACTATCTTGCAGGGTGCATGACTGTGGAAAATACAATGACAAGGTGGAAAAGAGAGGGATATGTATTTTTTTCTATTGTCCATAACTCACTAGGTAGCTGTGTGACTAAGAACTGAGTCTCCACCAGCTTGGATTCTTAGATCTTTTAAAGATCTGCCTCTATTTAAAGCCCTAGACTCTTATATGCCAATTCATTATACAAAGTTTCCTAACTGATCCCAGGAACTATAGCAGATAGCAAAGTGGAAGCAAGAGGTGTTCAAAGAAAAAGTTTATTATCAGGAAAACCATGGCTGGAAAGAGGAGGAGTTTCCTCAAGTCCTTGAATCAGTTCTTCTTCTGGCTCTGTTGAATGTTCTGGTCTTTAAACTAAGGTGAAAAAAAATAACTTTTTAAACAGAATTATTTGGAGAAAAAAGTGGATTGGAATCAGGCAGACTAGTACATCAACTCAATCACCCTTTTATTGCTGTCTGATATTTATTGTGTACCTTAACTTTTTTTTAAAATTCAGATTTCCTACATATAAGTAACTGAAGAGTCAAATGAGATTCTATGAATAATAGCTAACGTTTATTGAGCAGCTATTCTGTGCTGGACTTTCTCTATCTTCATAGACCAGCAAGGTTGTTTTTTCACTTATCAAATGAACAGACAGTTGCAAAGAAATTAGGTGAATTGACAAAAGTCATTCAGTTATTAAGAGACAGAATTCAGATACTCAGATCAGAGTAACAGAAGTTAAGGACAAAAATTCTCAGTAAGTCTGTGGGCTCTGCCCAGTGGTAGTATTTAAGGCAGTTGGTTGTGAGTGTAAGATAGTTCAGCATATGTGGAGCACTTAGAAATACTGGAATATGGGTCTGATCACCAATCCAAGGGTACCCAAAATCTGCTGTTTCCAGATTCAGCTTCCATCATACACAACCAACACAAGGCTGCCCTATTCTCAACATTTAATAGCTTTTTTCCCCCAGCTCTGTTCCTTGTATTCCTTTCCTACATAAATATTTGTCCTATCATAACTAAAGACTAATTAGAAAGTTTTGTATGTGGGGGCATGATGAGAGTTGAGAGTTCTAATTTAAAAATATACCAAAGAATTTTTATGCCAGTTCAAAATTATTAGCCAAGAGGGGTGAACAATGAAGATCTTGGGACTAATTTGTAGAGTGACTTTCCCGAGTTGGGTTGTGATGGTACAATAAGGAATTTTATTAATTTAATCATCAAAAATATTATTTTATCTACCTATTATGTGCCTGGCACCATAAACTCAAACATTATATCTTTATTTTGGGGATGTTCTTCTAAGAACATTTTTTGTGTGCGTGTATAGATACCTGACATGCTCTTCTCCTACCAAACCTATTCTGAAATTTTCTGAGATACTGATTGATCCTGTGGTTTTTGCAGTTACTTTCAATCAAATGATATCTCTTCTTGGATCATTATTCCAATAGTAACTTATGAGGAAAATCTTACCCAGATGCTGCGGAACCAGTGAGGCTGCTCGTAGATAATTCTGGAACCACATTTTATCTGGAGTCCTTTCTTTTCTCCCAGCAACCTTAGATCAGCATGGGTTTCCCTTGGCTTTTGCCTTTCATGGGTTAATTTTCTGGCAGAAGTGACAGAGACCAAGAGTCAGATTATAAGAAAATGGTCATGGGACCTGATCTAGTTACTGGGCCTTCAGAAGAGAACTTACAGATTTCTGTTTGGGTGTGGTAGAGAGATGGTGTTGCCAGGTAAACGAGTTCCAAACAGTTAAAATGATAGGAGAAGCCCTTGATTTATGAACAGATTGTTTAATAAAGTTTATTTTTGATGCAATTTTCTAGAACATTGAATGTCTCCTGCTTTAGAAATGATAGTAGATAGTACCTTGCCAGATGGTTAGTAGGGTCATCATTGTTACCATCATCTTCAATTTCCAAGTAAGGGAACAGGCCAGGGAAGCAACATAAGTCACCCAAGCTCACATAACTAGGAAGAGGCAGCCTTGCCCACAGGAACAAATTCCACCCATGACATAGTATGAGATGTCTCCTGGACGTGAGTCCCAGTGACAAATCTGTACAATAAAGTAAGGGGCTCCAGGAAGAAATCAACCTGAGACAAAAGGCTCCCTTTGTCTCTTCCTGCATCTTTGTGACTCCTAATTTCTGCCTTCCACATGGTAGCAGAGTCCAGGTAGGAACAGAGTTGGAACATCTTATGGTCTGAGTTCAAGTCACATTTTCACCATTTGTTGAATGAGTAACTTACCTAGTTGCTAGTAAATTACATTTACCACCTATGTTTTGTTTTCTGCAATCACAAAGTAGGGGTAATAATAGGAGCAGCTTAATTCATTCATTGAGCTATTTTATTAAGTATACCATGAACTACAGCTTGTCTTGGGACTGGGAGATGGAGTATAAGCCAAAAAAAAAAGCACTCACTCAAAAGAAACTTATATTTGTACTGGAGAAGAAAAAACAAAATCCAAGAAATAGGTTAGCAGTGTGAGTTAAAAAGGAAAAGTTACAGAAAGTAGTTAGAAGGGGCATGCCTGTGGTAAATAGTAAGTTTTCACTCTGACTCCTTTTCTGTCTGTGTACCAATTTGAAGTTAAATAAACCAATATGCACCTAGTCTCCCAAGAAGGGTTTCTTTCCCTCACTCATTCTTCCACTTCCAAGTCTGATTTTTTATAAAAGCTCCCACCACTTGACAGCATTGAATTCTGAGGGAGTGAGGATGCTTGCTTTCTGCCAGTGGATTTTGAGCTCTTTGAAGGCAGGGATGGTGCTCTCCTACAGCTGAACATAATAAGTGCTCAATAAAAATGTGTTTCTGAAGGGAGAAAACGAAGTAGTTTGTATGTGGAGCCACATGTTGCCCTTGGATGATTTTATATTTATCCTACTCCACTAAAAAAAAAAAAAAAAGTATTGTCTTTTGGTGTGGCTGTTGAGAGGAAGCCAGAGAAAGAGACACACAAAAATTCATTTGTCTGAGCTTCTTCCTTTCTGCAGGAGAGGGCGGCATCAATCCTCCCTGGCTCCTTAATTATTCTGAACACTCATTCCTGAGGCCTGCCAGTGACAACAATTGATGTTGTCCTAAGCAAGACAACTTACTGTGCAGCACTAAGGGCAGCCATATCTCTGTCAGGGTCCCAGTGGCAGGGAGCAAGTCCCCTTCTGCCCCCACCCATCAGACAGGCAGCTGGGAAGTATCTTGGCCTCTGTTCTGCATGAATCAACAATCTCTTCTGGAGAAGGATCATGCTTAAGAATTTGGGGGTAAATGGAGTCCTGTGTAGAGGAAGAGGCTGGGGTGTGTTTCTTCCTTTAAACAGGACACTGAGTGAGCTTCCCCATTCACTGCTACAGGAGGCCCCTTCTCCCTTGGGGATTAGCAGTGATTCTGACTGCCTTAGGCTGGATCTTTTCCAAAATGTATCTGGATGAGTAAGAGAAACACTAAACCCTAGACAAATATTTCAGGCGGATGGCCTGCATTCTGTCCAACTTTTCTGTTTTTAATAATTGTTTTAATAACAAGCTAGTGGTTGCCTGTCATCTTAAAATGATCTTCAGAAACAATCCATATGCATGTGACAATTACTTGTTCATGAACATGTATCCATGAAACAGAGACCATGTTTTATAGGAGCAGTTTCATAGAGTAGAAAGTTTGATTAAGTTATTTAAAAAAATTATCCCTTTAGCCTGATTGTGATATTATGTCTTCTGTTTGAAAAAATGTACTGTTAAGAGAACAGAGAGCAAAAGGAAAAAAAAAATCCTCTTGAATGTATTTTACATTAAGTGCTAACCCTCTTGCAGTTAATGTATGTGTGTTCCATAATATGTTTATTAAATCTCCCCAAATAAGTCCTCAGGTATTAATTTTCATTCCTGTGGTGTTAGCCTCATTCAACTGGACTTCAGTCCCCATTTGATGAAATCAATATGAAGAGTGACCACACCCCCACACACCCTCTCCCAGAATACCCACACATATGCTAAGTGACCCAGCAGCCACTGGCTTTTTCTTCCTCTTCCTTTTTCTTGTCCTCTTTCAGATATCTGACACTATTGCCTATTAAATAAATGATCTGTCTCTTTGCAGGACAGTGACAACCTCTGGTGGGATGCGTTTGCCACTGAATTTTTTGAAGATGATGCCACATTAACCCTTTCGTTTTGTTTGGAAGATGGACCAAAGCGATACAGTAAGCAAGAAGCTTATTTTCTAATATTCCCTCATTTTGTGCCGTAAGAAAACCATAGGGGTCTTGAGAGAATAGCCCAGTGCTGACAGGCTGACAGTAATACCTTCACTCCTGACAGTGTTCTTGCTTCCTGTCAAGTCATTGTCACCGGGTGGCAGCCCAAGTCGGCGCTGTGAGATGTTCTCGGAGCCTTAGACTGTTTGGGAACTTGCCTGTTTAGAGATCGTAGGAATAGAAGTCAAGTCAGCAGTAATAAGTGGGAAGGAACGATGGAAAGTTTCCATGTATCTCTTCTCTGTGACTCTCTTTTATCCTTCACATTCTCACTTGACACTCAATATTCTAGGTGTGAAGATTTCTTTAAAAAAAAAAATTCCTTACCATCGGTGTATCAGTCACATCCTTCTAATTCCCTCTTATCAATTATCTCAGGTATTTATTTGACAAGTGCTATCTTTTCTCAGGGAGGTGGGGAGGACGCAGCTGCTTTGAATGTACTGTTTTGAATTAGTGTCGACAGAATTATAGTTCCTTGTCGTTCCTGCGAGTGGTAACTCTGTAAAGATCCTCAAATTATAGCCAATGGCACCTTGGGTAACAGCTGATCTGTCCTGATTAGGTTCAGCCAACTTGTCAGAAATCAGATTTGCTGGTTGTGCTTTCAAACCAAGAGGCAGAGATCCATCAACACAAAAGCAATTAATGTCTGTTTAGATCAGAGAGAGATGTGCTTTCAGAAATCAGTGGTGCACATATGAAAGGACTGTCAGAGGGGAAAATGTTCCCCCTGTCACAAACACTGCAATGATGCTGGCACCTATCCAGCATGAATGAGTCAATCCAGAGCACTTGGCAATTGATAGCTAATAGGGTTCTTGATGAACATGAGTCAGAACTCTGGTCGTTGCTAGAGGTCTTTTATTTGTTTATTTGCTTTTGTTTTGTTTCTAATTTGAGGGGATTTTAGCCAACTTAGTTCTACCTGGATCCCTTGCCTGAATGCTTGATTATGATGCTAATACCTGCATGTGGTGATTTTGCACAAGTGGCAAAAGAGAGAGAGAGAGAGAGAGAGAGAGAGCAGGCAAGCTATCATGGACTTGTTGCCCCTCTGAAACTTGTTGCTAGGAAGATTTCCTAATAAATATTTATGGTGGAGGCACAGGTAATACGTCAGACAATGTGCTGGTAGAATGTCTTTTACATTAATGAAATGAGTCCTGTCCCCAGCACTGGGAAGCTCACTTCATGAGGGTCCTTGCTGTTCCATGTGGGTGCCCCAAGTCACCATGGGGCATAGGATGATTTTTTAGAAGTCCCAGGGAAATAAATGCACTCAGCAGGCCAGTAATTTCTCCCTCTTCAAAAGGTTGCTTCAGCAATGGTGAGCAATTTCTACCTAAGTAGTGAGCCACCCTCTAAACCATCCTGGTTATTTATTCACTCATTTGTAGTTTTTTTGGAGGCATAGCTCTGATAACTTCAAGTTATCATTGCTTTATGTCTTCAGGCTTTGTTGAATCAGGAAACTGTCAGGGTCTGCTCAAGGAACAAGAATTATAGTTTTAAAGTCTGTGCTATAAAACACATTCTTACTCAATCCCCCGGTCCCCCCCCCACCCCTACATCATTTGGGGTGAGGTGTGATCAACACCCATGCGAGATCTTGTATCCATGCCCAGGAGTAAATGCCAGGGTATGAGCAGGTTTCTTTGTTTCTCTGAGCCAAAATATTTCCTGAGCAGAGAAGAGAAACAAAGATGATTGACAGGCTTGAGCCGAGTCTCATCAGCTGCCTTGCTGACAGCTTGGTGATGTGCACACGCGGCTGATGTACAGGCAAGTGACAGCTGATTGACAGCCCAGGACTGAGAGACAGGGAAGATGAAGCTTTCTCAGAACGCCTGACATGTGCTGTTGATGAAGTGTTCCTAGCGTAGGCGCTGCCACCTTAACCCATTCAGGGTCCAGGAACATTGTGCCAGGCTGGGAAGATGCCAGGTGGCCGCAGGGCTGGAAGCTAAGGCTCTTCCTTGGTGCCTTTCAGGTTGCTGAAGGCTTCGTATTTCTGAGGACGAAAATAAGACTTGCCTATTTTAGATTTGTATTTGTAAAAACAAAACAAAAATCCCCAAATTATACATGCTAAGTAGAACTAGCATGAGGTTTTTTTTTTCAGCCCCTCCTAGAAAACCCTATTTCTTCCCCCTCCTTATTTGTGTCTTTAAAAGGTCCATTCAGTGCCACGCTATCCTGTCTTTCAGTTACCATAAATCCCATAGTATGTGTTTGTGTATTTATTTTTGTTTGTCACCCTTACTAGCTAGCTCCATGTGGGTGGAGGCTTGGTTAATTGCTGAATTTTCAGATAAATAGAAGAACTCACATGTAATAGGTGCTTAATAAATATTTGTTGAATGAATGAATGAGTGAGTGACTAAATGAATGGACATTTAGACAAAAGCTTATTTCACCAAGTAGAATGATGGCCAAACAATCCTTTGCCCAGACCTTTGGACTTTTTACTACTGGAAGAACTTGATGGAATCAGTGACAAATTCCAGGCTATGATTCTGGTGTACTCTAATGAGAAAGAAAAGTCCCAGCAGCAAAATAATGCGGGAAATAATTATACTTCATGTGGCGCATTGTCTCTCTTCTGAAAAAACTCCTCTGTACTGATACATTGCTCCTCCTGCCCCAGCCTCCACACCCATCGCTCTCTTGATGGAGTGGGACCCTAGGTGGGACATGACAGATTGGCTTGATGGAGACTGCTGGTGTATTCCCAGGAGAGTGGTGGTGCTTGGTGCCGGAGGTACGGAATGGAGAAGGTACTGGGCCATGTTTGAACATGGGCCATGTGTCCCTGAGGCCACTTGTCTGCCCATGAAATTTCATCAATGGCTGAAGAAGCTGACAGTTCCAAGGAGGTGGCAATCCTAGGATTAGGTGCAATTAAAGGAGGAAGGAGATTATGGTGGGCAATTCCTTCTTGGTCAGCAAGTCAGTAAAGACCATTAGGGCTCAAAAGAGTCTTTTCTGAGTATAGAAACTTGGACCAGAGGGGTTAGGTAGATGCCCAGGTAGGGAGTCACTGAACCTGGAGTGTATTGACTCCAAAGTCAGTAGGTACCCACCACCATCCATATATACATCTTACCCCTACATTGTCCCATAACTAAGGGGAAAGACATGATTTCATGAGTGCTCAAATTCTGATAAAGACATAGGGTCACAAATAATTATTGCACCCTTATCCAAACTGGGAGGCCCAGGAAGCCAAGGTTGTGGGTCCTTAAAGCCTCTTCATGTCTGCTTTGCATGGCGTATCATTAGTTCCTTCCTTATCTTGTATAGGAGGGACATTCTTAGGTTACATTGATTACCCATTGCTCGGGGAATATTGATTTTTTTCCCCCTTGTTCCTTCTAGACATGTAGAGCTAGGCTGTGTACTATTCTCTCTTTTCATGGTTGTCATACCACCATCTGGGTGACATACTGCTGGAAGTCTCTTTAGTAGACCTAGCCAATGTACAGACCTCACTGGTCACATTCTTAGGAAATACACATGGCTCATTCATCTAAGAAATATTTTCTTGTTAGGAGAGATGCTTGAAGAACAATCTCAAAGCCTGTGTGCCATGCACTGAAAAGGTGGAAGGGTGAGTGATGTAGGAGAAAGGGCTGGAGGATTCAGTGCAAACATCCATGGGTTTTAACCCCTGTGTTGCTGGATAAACATGTGTAGAATGGGTGTAATACCGTCCTTGGCTTGTGATGTAAACTAAATGAGGTGATATAATCGAAAAGCGTAGGACCATTTGGAACATATTGTCATCAGTGTTACTATCATCAGTTTATAGCCCTGGCCTCACCAAGGCCTCTACATGTTGGAGAAGCTTGCCATTTGGCAGGGGCTTGCAAGTGCACAGTGTGTGTAGTTCTCCCTGGCAAGGTGGGAGACTGAAGGACCTCTGTGGGGACAGTTTCAGCTGAAATGCAGCCTTGAGAAGATTCTGCACCCTTCTCAGATTTCAACTGTGAAGAGAGAGAGACACTCACTTCTGGCAAGTAAGATATGAGCAGGAAGAAGATACCAGGAAGTGGAAGGTTGATTAAGTAAAACTTGGGCTGTACACTTTGAGAGCAAAAGATTCTATAACACTTGATTCAGCTGTCTAGGTGGGTACTACTTGGAAGTTGGGGGGAAAGACGTAGCTCCTGCAATGCCCTCTTGTTTCAGAGCACTTCGTGTTGGCCTACCCTTTAGGAAAAGAGGTTGTGGGTCTGATAACTAGGCTCAAACCCAGCTCTGTTTTTTACTACGTGTGTGATTTGCAATAAGTCATTTCAGAAGCATCAGTGGTTTTTAAAAAGTGGGGATTTGATGGCTGATGCAGGCAAAGTTCTCAGCAGTGTTTTTCAGCCCCTTGGAAATGCTCCTTAAGTATTATCTGTTGCTCCATGTAGATTGAAACCCAGGGCAATTCAGATAAAATTTTCATTAATCTTTTAACTACTATGTGTAATTTTGGACTGAGATTTCTAATAATTCTCTATCATACACATGTTATTTCATCGTGACCTCTATGTTTTGTCTGAAATCAGGATTTATTGCAAGACCACCCACCTTCTAGGTCACACCAGCCAAAACTTTTCTGGGGTTACTGGGTATATATTTCCCTCTCCAAATATGACAAAAAGTAATTTAGGAATGTCATCTCTGTCCATGCCTTTATTTCCCTCAGTCATTAAGTCTCATTAAAATAGTTTGAAAAACTGCTCATGTAAGAACACACTATAACACTTCCTGCTTCTTTTGTGTTTTTTCTCTTCCTTTTTCTCCTGGAAAGCTCTGATAGCTTTGCAATATTGACTAAGTTCTTCAATTTTGTCTTGTAATATGTGTTTTTATGTGTTGTGTATTTAGACGTGTTCCCCTAAGGTAGAGAAATTCTGTACTGCCCAAGTAGTTTCTCTATTTCTGGCTATTAT